TTACGCCCGAACGTGACAATAGTGATGCTGAAATTCACATACCTGCTGGTCAAATTTTTTACCATTTCCCTTGCAGTAGCCCCACCAATTTTCATGCACTTCTTAAAGTGAAATAAAGTATAACATAGAGCTTTTGAGGAAACAAGTTTTGTTTTATTGAATGTTGTGGTGTCAAGTCCAAAATTATAACATGAAGACCTCTGCATATTTGGTTTAAACATTGTTATTTAAAGATATCCGTTTACAATAAATTTAATTTAAGTCACCAGATAAGCCTTGGAGCTGTGTATGAACCACTAACTATAATGGCAATCATCTGACTAGATATGCTTTCATTTGCAACATTGCTTAAAATATGCACCATTAAATTAAATAATGAACTGAGCTTATACAATTTTACATCATAGGCTCTGAATTAATAAATTCAACTGAATACATTAAATAGTGAATAAATATCTCACAACAAATCCTCCGTGATGTCAGATTTAGGCTGGGCATAAAAAAATACCTTATGCACTATTAATCCACATTCCACTAGGTATTTACCCATCTCTCTCTTTTTCTTTCATCTTGCAACTCCTGTTCAAAGTTACTGTTACTTACTTTCTTCTGACATTGGAAATTTGTCATTGTGAGATTTACACACATTGTGAGTAAGCATTTGTGATGGACATTCTTTGAACTTTGCCCTAGAATAAAAATGAGAACACAAAAATAAGAATACTTTGAAAACTTAACACGATACATCTGTCTCAACAAATTCATCTTTCTCAAATCATGAATATTTACCTGTTATTATCCCTCTGTGACACCCTGTGGTCCCTGCTTAAATCAGATTTTAAATCAATTTTCTCCTTCCATGCTAACCCTAAATGCTCACAAATTTCATAAAAACTGTATTTTGATGTCATACCTTAAAGTGGTAAGTGTGTCCTTTCCCGAATCAGTGTCCTCAGAAGTTGTAGAGACATTGGGTTTTGCCCTGGACTTTCCAGGTGGAGGCATCGGTACCTCTGGGACTGGCAAAGGAGTACTGCAACTCCTTTCTGGGGTTAGATTTCCAAGACGTTCTTCTATATTGTACATACAGTGTAAAATCACTCCATGTTAAAATAATCATGACAAGAGTTTAAAAACTAAATACTGAGGGCATTTTGAAAAGGCAAACCTTTGGAAAGACCAACAGTTACACATTTTATTTTGGAGCAATTGATAATAGGTCAACATTTAGAAACCAGTCATGTCTGAAAATTTCTAATTGTGTTGTAACATACTGTACCATTACTTATGATGTCACTGTCATATACAAAATTACTTCTGAGTTTTTGCTTAGCAACTGGGTACTGGATTTCCTCACCGACAGACC